AGAAACAATGCAAGCAAGGAAAGAATGGGAAAATATATTCAAAGTGTTAAGGGAAATGCAATTTCAACCAAGAATACTGTACTCGGCAAGATTATCCTTCATATGGGAAGAAACAACAAGAACATTCTCAGATAAACAAAACCTGGGAGAATTTACCAACACCAGACCAGAGCTCCAAGAAGTTCTCAAGGGACTGCTATACCAGGACAATTAAATACAGACACACAGAAATAAGAGTTCAAAAACTAAGACAATGGCTAATGTAATCGTAGGGACAAGTCGGGAGCTGAATATTATGTCCCAGAATTTAATTGGAAAGATTGAACCACAACAGAAGATAAATTAAGTACATGAGACTGAACTGGTGAAACAGCATTTTATGACTTTTGTCTGAAATATCACTGATTTTCTTCTAGGTTTTGTTTTCCAGTTTTAAGGATTTTTGTCCTGTCTTGAGCTGCTGATAGATTCATGTACCTACTATTTGAACAGAATCCTAACCAGTTTCCTGGCTTTAAGTTTTAAGTAAAGTTCCTTAGCATTTCTTTGTTAAAGCTAAAACTTCTTTCCTTGAAATTAAAAAAATATACTAAAAAATAACTATTTAATGACCGTAGTAAGCTATATAGCATCAGCTAGGTGCTACCTTATAGTATATTCATTCTACTTAGAGTTTCACGCTTAAAGTCAGACATGTGTTCAGATATGTATATACCAGCTAAACTTGGTATTTAAAGTAGTTACATTAGTTAAGAAATTTTGTGAATCAATAAAATGTGAGCAAAAAAAGGAATGGAAAACAACTGTAGACACCTGAGATAGTGTGGGAGAAGGGTGGGAAATGGCAGAGGATGAGAAATAGCAGTAGTATATACATATATATATGAAACTAGAAATGGAAAATTATTGATGATAACATGTATGATTAAGCCACTAGGCAGTGTATTCTGGATGGGAAATCACATTTTGTATGCTGTGACAATGCTCAGGGAATGAATGTAAATTAATTAATTTAAAACATGTTTCAGAAGATAAATAAATACATGCATTAAAAAATAGATTTTGGACAGCTGTGCACACACACACACATATGCCCTATATAT